CGGCTCACCCAACACACCACCTAAACCCGTCAAAATTCTTGGACTGGGTCAAAATACGGTTTCACTCTAGATAAGTACGGCGGGTTCGCTTATAATGCCCAAATGGTTTTCCGTGTGACGGTTCTTCCAAGACACGGCACCTAGACCGGTCAAATTTCCGGACCGGGTCCAAATTTACGCCCCCGCCATACATTAGTACGGCGGGTTCGTCAATAATGCCCGGGTGGTTCTCTGCGTGACGGCTTTTCCAAAACACGCCACCTGGACCAGTCAAAGTTTCCGGACCAGGTCCAAATTTACGCCCCCGCCATACATTAGTACGGCGGGTTCGTCAATAATGCCCGGGTGGTTCTCTGTGTGACGGTTCTTCCAAAACACGCCACCTGGGCCGGTCAAAATTTCCGGACCGGGTCAAAATTTACGGCCCCTCCATACTTTAGTACGGCGGGTTCGTCAATAATGCCCGGGTGGTTCTCTGTGTGACGGTTCTTCCAAAATACGCCATCTGGGCCGGTCAAAATTTCCGGACCGGGTTAAAATTTACGGCCCGTCCATACTTTAGTACGGCGGGTTCGTCAATAATGCCCGGGTGGTTCTCCGTGTGACGGTTCTTCCAAAACACGCCACCTGGGCCGGTCAAAATTTCCGGACCGGGTCAAAATTTACGGCCCCTCCTTACTGTAGTACGGCGGGTTCGTCAATAATGCCCGGGTGGTTCTCCGTGTGACGGTTCTTCCAAAACACGCCACCTGGGCCGGTCAAAATTTCCGGACCGGGTCAAAATTTACGGCCCGTCCATACTTTAGTACGGCGGGTTCGTCAATAATGCCCGGGTGGTTCTCCGTGTGACGGTTCTTCCAAAATACGCCACCTGGGCCGGTCAAAATTTCCGGACCGGGTCAAAATTTACGGCCCGTCCATACTTTAGTACGGCGGGTTCGTCAATAATGCCCGGGTGGTTCTCCGTGTGACGGTTCTTCCAAAATACGCCACCTGGGCCGGTCAAAATTTCCGGACCGGGTCAAAATTTACGGCTCCTCCATTCTTTAGTACGGCGGGTTCGTCAATAATGCCCGGGTGGTTCTCCGTGTGACGGTTCTTCCAAAATACGCCACCTGGGCCGGTCAAAATTTCCGGACCGGGTCAAAATTTACGGCCCCTCCATACTTTAGTACGGCGGGTTCGTCAAAAATGCCCGGGTGGTTCTCCGTGTGACGGTTCTTCCAAAACACTCCACCTGGGCCGGTAAGTACTGATAAATTTTGTGGTACCTTCTCAATTGTTTTCAGGGGCTGCGCCTGCCTGCTTATTGGGGCTCCAGCCCCACGAGGGCTTCGCCCTGGACCCCTGGGACCCAGCTCTTCGCGTGACGCACTACAACTTAAAAACGCTCGCTCGCTTCGCTCGCTTGCTTGATTATTTTATGCAGCTTACTACTCGGATATCGTATCAAAAGTAGATATTATATCTGTACTGTATGTGTATAGGGAAATTAAATGCTTTCTGTTACCTTCAAACGTGACGGTGTATAATAAAGCAATCGTTTTTATACCATCTTTCGTTAGTTGCTAATAATAAAACTGAACATTTTTCAATGACTGCACATGAGTATCTGTTCTACTGGGAATCGGTAAAGTGTATTTTGCTAAAGGACAAACAACCGAACTTTTTTTCGTGCATTCTTAGTGCCAGAAAATCTGAATGCTTCTGTCTCCTACTTTAGTAATGATATTACGAATATAAATATGTATTCCCAAATGTACATCACTCATAATCAGGTAACTCACTTTATAGGCACACTAATTTGAACCACTCCATCCCGTATCCAAATCTTGAGATTTTTATTTTCTTGAGTGACCGTGCTATCCCGCCGGATATCTCATCATGACTACCTTAAACTCTTGGAGGCCACGGTTTCCGGGCAGCGGCAAACGATTTACTTCAGTTTTCGGAAAATGTGGCAAAAGTAAGTGTACTGGAAATAATGGATTATTGCTTGTACTGGAACCACGAAGTCATGGCTTTTTGGATTTCTAAAGCCTTTCTAATTTATTTTGAGAAAATTAGTAATAAATAGGAATAGCAGTAAATAACTTTATTAACCGTACGAAATTTACTGCCCGTGTACAGAATACAGGTATAAAGGTAAAATGCTATATTAATTAAGGTCATTGTGCTCATATTGTAATTATTAACATACCTAATTTTTTGTTTAAAATCGGTAGTAGATTGAAATTTGTTGTAGATTTAGGTTTATTCCAAACGTTACCTGGCGTTTTTCGTAGGATCATCAACCCTAAGAACAGTGCTACTTCGATCCGCGTTCTTCTTAACCATCTTTGCAGTTGTACATACGATACTCAATACCGTCGAATTCATGCTCGAAATACATTCGACGTCGGAAGGAATTGTTCCATTCGACGACAGCATATCGGACCAAACAGCATATCCCGAGCGCCAACACCTAATATTATTCTGGACAAATTTTTATGGTGACGGTTTTGTTCCCTCTTTGCGATTGTACCAAGAAGCCGAATCCGGAATACGAAAGTGTCCGTACTCCAACTGCATCTTGTCAAACAACCGCAGCCGATTTCTGGACGGCGGGGCCATAATCTTTCACATCCGAGATCTCTCTTGGGAAAATCTTCCGCCACAGCGTTCGCCAGACCAGTATTATATTTTTTTCGGATTAGAATCGCCGGTCCATACTATCGGTGACGTAAATCGGCGTCAGGGATTCTTTAATATGACGTTTACGTATCGGTTGGATTCGGATGCTGTAACTGACTCTTATTTCCAACACTTTCACCCCACTGTTATAACCCATCCGGAATTCTATGAGCTGTTGGCCAACAAAACCGGTTTCGCCGTTACTTTTGTCTCCAACTGCCATTGGATACCGAGTCGTCGGGATTTGTATTTAAAAGAGCTGGGAAGTTATATCGAAGTGATTGTGTACGGAAAGTGTGGGACAAAGCAGTGCAGTACCGATACGCCTGACTTCTGCGATCAACTTGTGGCGAATTATAAATTTTACCTTGCCTTTGAAAACAGGTGAAGATTTCAAAAGGCATACTCCTCGATAATATTATATTGCTATTTAATGGAAATAGAGTTAACGGGATATACCGTCGAACCATAAAGTGTTTATTACAATTCACCGCATTTTCTGCTTTTGTCAAATTACTTATATAGCATACTGTATTATACAGACCAGTAGTTTTTATCCGCTAAGTGTCAATGAATTAATAATTCGAAATCAGTCAATGTTTTACAATGAACGGCAAATATTTGGAATGAGCAATAATTTGTAATATTTACACTTTTCAGCGTTTGCAAGGACTACGTGACCGAAAAAATCCATCGAGCTTTAAATCACGGCGCCGTGCCAGTGGTTTACGGTGGCGCGAATTATTCCGCTATTTTCCCACAAAATTCTTTCATAAACATTCTCGATTTTGCCAACCCAAAAGCTCTCGCCGATTACCTGATGTTTTTGGAGCAGAACCCCACCGAATACCGCAAATACTTCCAGTGGCGCATGAACCCTGCTACATCACGATTGGGCGTCGGACTGGAAGCGGACAAGTTGTCATGGTGTAAAGTCTGCACAATTCTCAACACGCGTGAGCCACAGCGTAAGGTCATTGCGCATCTGGGGCATTGGTGGAGTGGAATGGGTTGGTGCCGCACTCCCGATACACGGAATAATATTTGGAACAAGAACCCCGATATTCCCAAAAAATAAAATTCCGTATTTTTGTTGTCAAACGTTTCGGCATTATAATTGCGTGTTCATTGTTAACACGTCGTCCGTTTCCGGCTTACTTTTAATGATGTGGATGTTAATAAAAGTTTGCAGTTCTGTTAGAATTCAGCTTACAACGAGATTCCTTGCTCTGATTGCCCAAATCCGTGTAAACTCTCTTGTCACCGTAACGAGGAAATTATTTAAAACTGATAAATGCAGCAACGGATGAAATCAATACAACGACGTTACGCCAGTTACGGCACACAGTGCAGGAACTGCTATCAAACAGTAGTAGCATTCAATCATAGAAAATTAGAAAGTACTTGTACATTTATGTACCATTTACGGTGATTTACCACAGAAAATACATACAAACATAATTGCTCTATTTCCCCATGATTAATAAAATAATTTTTGTATCAGTTTCTTATTTCCTTACTATTATGGTCGCGCATCCGTGTTGACCTGGAACATTTCTTTCGTGAGTTATACATAAATACTCGTATTATTACTATGATACTCGTATTTGGCCTGAAATACTAGATTTTCTTCTGCAGAACTATTGTACTTTGTAGTTGATTTGCACATGCTGCACAGTGCATGTTGCATGTACATTTACTCAGTATGTATGCAAACGTATCACAAATTACGGTTTCGAAATTATCCACTTCGCAAAGATTTCCGCACCGCACAAAGAATGCAGCCCTTCCATGGCAATAATTTTATCTGCCTTTATAACGCAAGCTATTCGAAAGAAGTTCAGACGATCGAACCTGGGATCAATCGATTGTGTACAAATAACAGTAAGTAGCTTTATCGAAACAATGGATGGAATGCCGGGAATGCGCTCGATACAACAATTTCAACTGTATTTGGCCATCACTCATCGGCGTCATCGCTGATTATCATTGGTAGGCATAGTTTCGTGGACTTAACAAGGACCGGGAAAACCCAAAGTTCAGATTATGCACCTGAAAAGTACATATCTGCATTACCATCATCTACTAGCAAATTTAGCAAGTATGAACCACTGCATATGGTAAGCACTGTACTTTCAACACAGTTCCGTGACGGTTTCATATTTTACCGATGAAACGCAGCAGTTTCGATTTATACTTTTTCGTATCGTTGTTAGAGTTGCCAGTTTTTGTATCTTGCCGTTCCCATCCTGCATTTCATGGAGTACGTTGTTCACACACGGACTTTTATAATGTTGCTTTTTGTGATTACATGGATTGGATTGATAATGATACCAGGGCGCGTCCATGCCGGAAGTCAGGATCACCTCACCTCGGATTTAACGACTGGATCGAGTCGCGCCCGGGTGAAACGCAGCTCGACGATGTTGGGTAAGAACTAGAAGTACCAGACAATTGTGATTTTGATGTCAGCCAAGACTCTCACTCTTGCATTGCTAGATTAGTAGCAGATAGCATGCACTGTTTTTCGTATGGTGAAGCTGTGATTGTGCTCTTGATACCGTTTGACTGTGTAGATATAATAATTTATAATTTGAGCACGTATATTGCAGCCAGCTGCTACCTGTAACAATCTCCTTGCGATTCACTATCTCCTGTAACAGTCTTAAAATTCGAAAATCGACGCCGGAAGTCTGATTGTGATTTTGATGTCAGCCAAGACTCTCACTCTTGCATTGCTAGATTAGTAGCAGATAGCATGCACTGTTTTTCGTATGGTGAAGCTGTGATTGTGCTCTTGATACCGTTTGACTGTGTAGATATAATAATTTATAATTTGAGCACGTATATTGCAGCCAGCTGCTACCTGTAACAATCTCCTTGCGATTCACTATCTCCTGTAACAGTCTTAAAATTCGAAAATCGACGCCGGAAGTCTTTATTGCTTTTCTGTAGCAGACGTCTTGATCTGACTGTCTTTAATATAAGAAAGCTGCGGTTCTATGAGCATCTTGGTTTGCAATTAATAAAGAACGAAGAACAAAGGCTCTGGTTAATTACCGATTCCATGTTTTAATCACGCTGCCGTGTTACGGCACTCGTATTTTGGTATTTTGGTATCCACCAGAGCACAGGAGCCATTACTTTTATAGTCATGAACAGCTGGTGACATTGCATTGGTTTTATACTGGAAAAATGTTTATTGTACAATGCTTCATAAGGATTTTAATATTTTTTTATTTTATTGCACAAGTAACAAAAGCAGTACCTACAGTATACTTCGAACCTCCTTACTGTATTCAGCCGAATTAACTAATGTGCTGTATCAATCAACTTACTGACACACAACGTAACGTATGTATTGTACATCACGTCAGCTTCCCCAATGCCTCGTACAGGCGGACTTGTTTATTATTGAATAAACAAGTCTACCATTATGAAGCGGCAATGGCTGCAACCTCACGAACTTTCGATAACTAAATTTTCATATACATAATGCATTCATAATAAATGCGGATGTTTTTCAGATTATGTCAACATGAGCAAGCCAACTCTGACATTTCCGCTTCACGGACGCATCATACCGCTGTACAATGCAGCCAATTCAGACCACACCTTTTATTTTATGCCTGTGGGAGCGCTGAAGCCAGACACAGTCCAAACACTGTTGGACGTAGTCAACGGTCAACATGTGGTGACCTTTACGATACAGCTATGGGACAATGTTTACCTGGACAAAGCCGCTTCACTTTTGACCGAACAAAAACATCCCATTCTCCTTCCCATGCCGTTTTCCTTCTTTCGCCTAATCTCTACTTATGAATTTCAAGGATCTCGCGTGGATGACAACTGGGCACCGCTTGCCAATACTCTGGCATCTGTGACGGGGAGAATTCCTTGTCAAAACACTGCGCATTGCACCATTATCGCCACTGCAGTCAAAGATCAGAGTGACCAGTTCACATCGACACTGATGATGTCATTTAGCTTCACGCTACCGAAAGCCCGCAACACCGTAGCTGATGTTGTTCCACGTTATTTATTCTGCTCATCCACGTTCAACACTATTGAAAATCGCTTCGGCAATAGCGGCCATGTATACCTCCATCCACGGGACGTGGATGAGATAGCGCGAGATATCTTGATGTGCGTTACAAGCAAGGAACTGGATGGTGGAGAATACATCGAGCACAAAGTCATGGAGGATTTAGTGCAGCACATGGCTAGCTTCTTGGTACACAACAAAATATCGTCGGATGACTATAACGAGACCATGTGGAATAGCACATACTGGGCCGACGAAAGATACCGACAAGATAATCTAGCTAAAGCGATGGGTATAATGGCCGGTAGCCAAAAAAACTGCCGCTGCGCATCGGTACCGCACTGAGCAACTATATGACAACAGTCAGTATGCAATCCGGCCAACACAGGGACAGCTGGCCAGATCCACTGCGTGAGATGGAAATCCTGAAAAACGAAACCATTCCAGCTTTCAGCGCGCAGCTGACCCAGCTCATGCAGCAAGTAAATCAGGCTGACGCGCAGATCAAGTCCATTCAGGAGGACAGCAGAATTGCACGGCTCGAAAAACAAGAATTAACACAGCGCCTAGACAGATGTAGTTCCGACTCCAGCACGTCCTCCGACGCCGTGCGTAGACTTCAAGCCGATCTGGCAAAAGTTGAGCAGTCTCTTGACAGTCCTGAACGGAATTTTTGTCCTCATGAAAGAAAGCCTCAAACCAAAGGTAAACTCTCATTTGTAGCAAAGGCTGCAAAGTATTCATCGTTACTTGTTACCGTCAAACCTGGAAAAGTGAAATTAAGTTAACAGCTAAGCCGATTTCGTTTGTATATTATTGTAACAGCCTTATGCGTACATGCGGGCCAGTCCTTACTTGTCAGCAACAGCGGTACTTACATGAATACACTATATTGTTAACGTTCATTTACGGTTGCATTGTTCGCTGAGTAAGGGTTTCAATATTTAATCATAATCTCTTGGATTGGGCAAGTTATATTACCCGCTTTATTGACATGGACAAAAGGTCACGACTCACAACTACAGAGCTGTACGTTAACCAAGGCCATAACTGATTACCAAGCACTTTGCATATACTAGAAGATCTGATTTTTTACGTCTGTACTCGTTTTTGCAGTTGGCATTCTGGGCGTTAAAGGCCAGCACGACGTTCTCTACGCGCAAGACAAACTCTGTTCTGTTGATGGAAAAACCTGCCTGCTTGTCCATCCTACCGGGAATTTGATAGTGTACGACACAGCCACGTACCGGGTGAAGTGGGAGTCAGGGACATATCGCGGACTGTGTGACGTGCAGCTGATTATGCAAAGCGATGGAAATTTGGTTCTGTATGAGAAACACTCCGACTTTGCTTACTGGCACTCGAACACTTCTGGGGGTACGAATGATATTAACCTAACAATAAAATAAAGCACTCAGTAAAACCAGTACTAGTACTATGTTTTACACCATTCGCGGACAAACAGCCGTTGACCACGCGGTGCCTGTCTGTTTACCAATAAGAATCAGCAGCGAAGCATAATATTGTAATATTTATGACCTTACGGGCCACACTTCAGTACTAAAGGTCAGACGGTTGTAACGATTCATGCTTGTACCAAAACTGGTCCAAACGACTTCTGGAGTTTCAGTGAAGTGAAGTAATCCCTGTTTACATTTGCACCTACACTTTGACATCCATACGCTTACGCAAGTCTTTTGTTCATTGTCAGTAAAACCTGATCTTTGTCAGATATAAAGTACTTCCTGATCTACTGTTAGAAATTACTTACTGTGTGCTCGTTTCGTTAACAGAACGGATACTGACATTTACGGATAATGGAAAACTTTGTGTGAGAACTCCAAACAGCCACTCTTGCGCCTGGTCGACATAATCCTTTCATAAACGATGTGGCATCGCAGTTCCGTTGTTCTCTGTTTGTTTCATGATCTAAATCGTTATTGATATTTGATTCATAATTGTTTGAGTCATCATGCACTACTGAAGCGTTGCAACGATTTTGCTCAGACAATGCTGAATCTGGTCTACTGGTTAGATTACAATTATTTTATCTTATTAGTACAGTAAAACCTGTGACTTTGAACACTCGCGTAAATGAACACTGGTGTACATTGAACGGTCATTACGGAACCGGCGCGTCTCGTAGACTATAACACAGAGTGGACCTGTACATTGAACAGGCGCCTACATTAAACGAAAAATTTGGAACCGCAGGTGTTCAGTGTAGGCAGGTTTTACTGTACTCTGTACGCACGGCTAACATCTCCTGTTTCCAACGCAAAGAAACAACGACTGCCGCATAAAAAAAACACAACCTTTATTGCGTCGTTGTTTCCTTATTACATTTTACACCGAAGGTGCGGGCGCGGAGGCCAGCGGTGTTAAAGCATACGAAGATTTACGGTTGCGAACAATTATATATTACTTCTATGATAAAATGAGTGTAATTGGGAGGGGAGACGATCGCGCTGGTGTCTATGCATAAAACCAAAAACCGACGGAAAATAAATAATAAACTCTTTAAGGAGGAGAACATCACACACGGCAATTATCGACATCAGCAGTTGTTATTACAGGTAGTGTTGAATTTTAGTATCTATGCTCTGCACGATGGCGCTAATGTGGCGATCGATAAAGACTTCGTTACGTCCCGAGTAAAGCAGCTTATGAAAAAACGTACTTGACGGAACTACCGCTAGGTGAACAGCAAGATGATGTGTTCAAATTTTGTCCTTTAGCTAACGTTTTTTCCAAGCTGTTTTTACTCGGGCGTAAAGGCTCAGCGGCTAAACACACTCACCCGCATCACTAAAGTACAAAGTATAATTATTTATGCCCTGAATAAAAGCGCACGGTTACAAACGTATAAATTTATTTTTGTACGAGCATGCTGAGCAATTTTCAAATCATTTGGTAAACAAGTAAATAACCAATACCTGGAAGGATGAAATTTGTAAAATATTATCGCCAATTAGCTTCACAAAATCAATAAAAACTCTTCTTCAGCTAATAGGGCTGCTGGCTGCATTATCAGATGATTTATTAAACTACACCGGAAGCTCACAATCCAATCCAACTTTCCCGTACTAGCTGAATAATCACGAAAGACCAGTAGAAAAAATATACTAAAAAATCTTTAGAAATTGGAGAAATCTCCTTTGGCAGTAGACGATTCCACGTCGTTGCCAACAAAACCCATGCGTGTCTCTTCAAATTCCTGGCGCGCCTTCTTCCGCAACTGCGGATTCGCGATCAGCTCCAATGTAGTCATGGCCATGGTCAAACCGGCTCGGCGGGCTCGTTTCAAAGCTTCCGGCTTGCCAGAGACCACTTGGAATTCCTTGGTATGAATCATATGTAACTCTCCTAAAATAATAATAATACTACAATTTGTTGGCTTTCAACAAAGCGGTTATCGTAATCGTAACCCTGGCCCGTGGGGGCCGTCAGCAATCGCAATTGTCAAAGAACTGGGGAAAAGACTTCAGCAGCAAACCGGCGAAGCACGCTCGCATGAATTTTTACGTCAGCGTTTGTGATAGAAACTGAACGTGGTAATGCGGCGTCTGTGCTGAGCACGATGGAAGGGCTGGATAAACTAAATGAAATTTTCTTGTTGTAATTTTTGTTTCTTTCTTCATTTTGCCTTAAGTTTGATTTGACCAATAAAGTTCGAGTCATCGTCTTTTGGTCGCTTTCTTCTGTTATTCCCTTTCGTTCAGCGGTTATAGCCCAACGGCACGAAGTCATACTGCCTGTTTGTTACCACTTACCAGCATAATCACAATTGCCTAATGATTCTTAGTTTTCTTTCAGCATCTTGAAATTCAATTATCATTGAATACATCACTCATTACAGTAATGCTGCCAGAAATTTGCTATACGTTTAATGAAGCATAAATTATTTAATTTTCATTAAGGATACCGTAACGGCAGATACACATATGCAATAGTTTTCGCATAATGCACAGAAGATCGTTTCGGGACATGGGAAGCACGTACCGACAGCGAAGGCCGGATGAATACTGGGAATCGCAGTGGACACGTTGCCCATATCCGTCGACCCATAACTTGGCCGCATCACAGGGAAAAACATTCCTGCAACATTTCACTCAAAGAAGAGAGCTTGCAAAAAAACCAGATATCCTGAATGCACGGCGTACAAATCAAGAATGGATAAAACAATATCACAATTATGATAAAACATGAACACTGATCCATCCAAGACAAACTGGCATTGGTGATGGGTCCTATTAAACCGGTCACGGCAGTGTGCTACAACAGCTACTCGTACACAAAATGCCACAGTCCATATCTACTGCTACAGCACCTGTGCTGCAAACGAGAACATTCACGGCCTATTATGATTTTCAAACGGCAGCAGAAGAACAACGCAGTACTCAAACTGGATATACTGTATTTACAGTAAACGCTATCCTAATGTCGGATGTGTTATTAAATGTTTCACTAGCGCTTAAGCTAGACCTTTGCCCCACCAAAGTCTTATTTTTTCAACATAGTGAAGGAGTGATCTAATCCTAAAAAGGTTAAGTTTTCTGAATTTGAAGAAAACAAAACTTTGTACTAAAAAAATAACTACTTAAAATACCTAGCATTTCCTACCATTTTTCTGGCCATAATGTCTATAAACAGACAGCATCGTCCCATTCAGCATCAACGGCTCATACTGCGGATCTCCAAACTGTGCTTCCAAGCGGCAACCTAAAACAACAGTAAAAAATGTGGCATCAATCAAAGCTGCTGCAATTTTAGCAAAACCAATGCAGTTAAGTACAATCACAACTGAAATCGCTTTCGAAAATCATGTACCGGTAGCGGTGGCTGCCGCTTTCAAACAGGCCATGACATTCTTCTTCAGAATTTCCATGGCGGCGGTAGTCGGTGCGCGGATGATGTACTGGCACTTGGTATAATCTGGAATAATGTTGGGCTTGGCACCGCCGTTCAGCACCACAATGTGGATCTGATTGCCCGCCTTTAGACGCTGCCGGAGCATGGCAATGTTATTATATGCTGCTACGGCAGCGTCAAGTGCATTGATGCCTTCCCATGGACCACATGATGCATGAGCGGCCTTCCCGAAAAATTCCACGTCTAACTGCAAAACACAATCTTTAAATCGCAGTAATATTCCAATTTTGGAGTAACAGTCTTTACAGCAAAAGTTCTGCGGATAATAACAGTAATAAAATTACGCACAACAGAAAAATCTAGAAGCAAGTGCAAAGTTGCTTTCTTATTTCTACAGAAATAAAAACAACTAGACAAATGCGTCGACTGCCGCAAGAAATTCAAAGAACCGGGACTCACACGAGTGATGCCGAGAATCGCTACTTCGACAATATCGATGGGAGAAGGATGCACCATCATGGCAAAGTCAATATCCCGGAAGGCACCCGCTTCGACCAGCTTCACTTTCCCGCCGCCGCCCTCTTCCGCCGGAGCACCCATACACAGAATCTAAAACACCTTATCTCTCTTTACTACTATTCGCACGTCAGTCTGAAATCTCGAAAAGGCAATTTAGGTAACAGTAAGTATCGTCTAACCCGCCGCCGTTCACTTACGTAACAAAATAGTTAACCAGATTTTAACCAAAAACCTTCACACAAATTCTAAGAAAACATTTTCATTAGAAACTAAACGCCGCGAAGTATTTATTAAAAAAGGAAAAAGATACTGCCGGGTCAAAGAAGAGAATATACTCACCTTATGTGTGTCCCTAGATCTACTGTACTAACGAGGCAACAGGTGATTTTCCCCTAATCTGGTTTTCTAACGCAGATAATCAAGCTCAAAACGAAGAACCAGCTTTTAGAGAAGGAAACAGCAGTAGATCAAACTATTTATGCAGAGATTGATATTTAGAATCGAGCGGCGTGACCATTGAAAACGCATACGGTATATACTCGTAATTCGTATTAAAAAAAAGCTGTACTACTAATTTGCCAACGCCGATTAAATAAAAGTACTTACACACCTTGGCCTGCAAGTTGGAGCTGCGAAGAGCTTCACACACCGCCAAGTAGGCAGCCAAACCCGCCTCGGTAATTAGATTATGCCCACACGCATGTCCCATTTCCGGGAGGGCATCGTACTCCAGCAGCACCGCAATGGCGGGATGCTGGGCGGAGGCGTCGAAACCCTCCGTCTGGAACTCGGCCAAGAACGACGTCTCCAGATTGCAGAAGTTGCGCGTGACGCGGTGCCCGGCTTGTTCAAGGTATGCCGTGATGGTCTGCACGGCGAAGAACTCTTGAAAGCATAGTTCAGGTCGCTCCCAGATAGCCAGGCTCAGCTGATCCAGACTGGCGGCGTGCTGCTCAATGCAGGCGCGGACGGTGGATTCGAAGGGAGCGCTATCCGGGAACGAAGTGGGCTCCGATTGAGGAGTCTTTTCGGATGCCATCCTGGTCGATCGATTGTCGAATAAAAAGAATTTGGGTCAAACAGGATATCCAGAACTACCACCGAGTAATCCAAAGAGGCACACTGCAAAAATTTCTGGAAATATTCCTGGAATCCTGGCTAACATGTGACATGTCCGAACGGAACAGCAAAACCTGAAAAATAATCAACCACCCAGTGGCGTATGCCTCGTGAACGCTGAGAGGGGGTGATACCAAGCAGCTCCCGGATGCGGTATGTTCAGCGACTTCGATCTGCAATATTTTGTACGTACAATGTACTGTACATTGTACAGTACATTGTACGTACTGTTCTTGAAAACTATCATAATTCGTTAACGTTCTACCGCTAATTAATAATGCAATTAAATTACTTAGTTAATGTTTTAAATAATTCTACGATGATATTATTGTTTTTCTGCCTCGGGAATTCCTGTTGCTCACCGGGATCCCATGATATCCACTGAAATTCACCGTTTAATCGAGATTTAAGTATAAACCAGGTTGATTTCGGCCGGTAGCTGTACAAGACCGTGTCAATGTACTGGGAAGTCACACGGATGAGCACCAAGGCCAGCCGTTGCTCGGTTCAAATTTCGCGTGACGCATCGCTCTTGCGTAGTCGGATTTCATTGTCACGAGTCAAAGTTCGGCTGCTGCTGCTGCTGCTGCTTGAGCGCAATCTGCCATATTTTGTCAACAAAGGCTCGGGGAAATCGATAAGGTCTGTTTTGTCTTGTTCCATCGCTTCATAGCATGAAAATATGATAAATTGCAGGAGCGAGTGAGAGTAGAGTTTGTAGAGACGTGAACGGGGATTTTCAGTGCTGTGGACGGGGAATTATTGGATGGAAACAGAATCATCTGATTGCTGAATGATGCGTTGTGCAGCTGCTGTGGGACGTCTGCTACTCCGGAGCGGGATTCAAACCCACAAGCGTACCTGTGCATTGATTTCCTCTTTTCATGGGTAAGTGCAGGGATAACAGTAATTATTCTGCTTCAGGATCTCGGTTTAATAAGCCTTTCCAGCTATGGATCGTATGATGAATTATATCTAATCGTATCAATGTTCAATACTTCTACATTATTGATTATACATTTATACACCGTCCTTTTTTGCGGTAGTTTGGATTTCTAAACGAATCTTATGCTTTTGGTCTAGAAAACGAGTATATGAAATAATAGCTATATTTTGGAAAATTTTAAACTTTTTAAAATTTAAGATGCATAATTTTGCATTTCATTTCATTACAGCGTATAGTATAATACACGCTACGCAGTAAAGTAAACATTGATAACTGCAGTACTTCATAAAATTTTCGTTTTTGGGATAATGATAAATTATTTTCTGACAATCGGCCGTCTGATAGAATTTTCGATTTCGCTGCCTTGGCCTCGATTTACAGTAGCTGGTACTAGCTACGCTGATTGGCATTTGCGGCTGTTGTTAACGTTTGGCGAGATTCGTCCTTTTTGTTCTGTTTGAAGTTAAAAAAATCATCATTATAATTTTGAACTGTGTTTCAACATAAAAGCTATGAGTAAGTATTTCAACGCGTTTTTGCGTGAACATTTTTTCCAAGCGATGCAAGAGAAATGGGGTATCCTGGTTTGTAACTGAAGATTGAAATCCGAACTTTGGAGTTTGCAAGTTTGGACATCAGTCGTAGGGCAGGTTGGCTACTGAATTATACAGATATACTAGTGATATTGTACGAATAACCGTTAATATTGTACTTCTACGAGTACTGTACTTAATTATCAGTAATCCTGGCAAAATTATTTCGAAATTGTTTAATCTTTTGGAAAGTGACAATCATGCATTTCCCGGACAAGAATTATACAATGTTTTTGCTGAAGTGTCGTGTATATTAAATTGCCCTTCCAGCTTGGTATGGTTTTCGTACTTCCGGTCAATACTGTGGCTGACTTTTTTGCATTTCACTAATCACTGCAGCTTGTTTCTAAGTATTGCTATGTATGCGCTAGCCAGCGAAGTATACGAGTTCACTCAATAAATTGTGAATTGTCTTAATAAATTTTTGTTAATAAGAATTAGCTTGCCCATGATTTGATGATTCATGATTCTATGGTTATGATTCATATGGATACGCTATACTTTACTCGTGCACTTACAATTACATATTTTAGTGCTATCTTCGAATTTCTCTGCGAATTTCGAATTTCTTTCTAATTAATAAGAATTTGTCACAAGTTCACAAAAATTTTTGGCGTCCTACGTAGTCAAATTAGTTGCTACTTTGTACAATAGTATGCCGTAGGTCAGTACGCAAAATGGTACTTATGGTAGCATATCTATAGACTACTGTATAGCTCATCACATCTACTCGTAGAGACCTTCAAGTGGCCACCTATGTTAAGTCAATGGGCGACATACCTTCAAGTGGCCAGGCATCAGTTATTTGGCCCCAGAACCGATTTTCTTCCCGTTTTTTGGTATAGCATGTTCAGCTCAACTTGCTCTTTACAGAGTACTTGAAAATTTCCAAATCGGTTGAACCGTTTTTTAGTTATTTACGTTGTAAAAAAACAGTGACGAAACGCTTAAGCCACGCCACGAGAGCCACTACACTACGCCAGCTTATTTCACTTATCAACCACACATGTGCGGGTGCAGCAAGCGCACGCTTTATATGAGCGGATATGAGCACAGAGGCAACCGGCATCAAACTAAGTCTTAAAAAAGTCATTAAAATTTTCAAAAAAAAAACAGAAATCAAAACAATAAAAATCACAACTTAGTGAGCATGTGAAAAATCACAGGTTAGTGAAAATAAATATTCACAGGTTAATAGACTCCGGTTAGCAGTACGACAATGCAGTGAAATAAATTTCGTAGATAGGTAACCTGAGAAATCACCAGAGAAAATCTGTTTTAAAAATTCAATTTTTAACTGCTGCATTTTTCTTACAATTACTCGTAAATGTAGAAGCTTACCAGTTTCTGCATTCAATTACGGCATGTGCACGGGCCGCGATTATTACGAGTAATTGTACTGAAGCTTACCATTAAACTACTGCTGTCAGATATCCTCTTTGCAGTTTGCATTACGTACTGCCACGGTACCGGTATATTTCTGAGGCAGCGGGTAGTAATTATGTATTGCATTTGTGTATAAAAACGAAAGAGTCAGTTAAACTGTTGTAAGGACCAGCTCACTAACAATAATGAGTGATCAGAGCGTGATAAGAAAGCGTGTACCAATGAAATTTATATTGTACCTGTATATTTTACATATAGTTCGCTATCTTTAGAAGCCAGTGCACTACGTTGCAGTAATTCGGTCCAGATTAGTTTCTACGATTAAATAGGTTATAAAATTGTGATTTCATAATTCATCGTTGCATGCTTCACTCTTCACTGGAAGTCAAGCGATGATCACGTGAATCCAACTCATTACGAGCTCACAAAAAGAAATCAAGGCCAGAAATCGATTACTGTACAGTGTACAGCTGTCCAGCTGCACGCCGCGTTTGCATAACCAGTCGATCGGGGTGTCGGTTATGCGATGTTTTATTGATAAAACTTGGAAGCATCAGCTGATGGCTCCGGCGTGCTTGGAATACGCGGTACTGGGTTGGTGAAAGGCAGTAGTCTGCTTATAGCAGAGTTACTTACTGCTGAAGTACAAGTACAAAGGTTGAGATGGCGATAAAAACGTGCAGCGGTTAAAGCGCCGTCGACGGCTCTACGCTGGCCTCGAGCAAGCTGTTTCCGGTTTCTGCTCTACCGTCGTGATTTTACCGTCTGGGTACGCGGATTTTCAGCCCTTTGCGAACTGTGCACGGGACTTCCTTTGCTCGGAATCAGGACACTTAGTAGGATATCGGGTTGTGCTGGTTTTACGTAAATTTAATCTACGAAAATTTGGAATACCATGGCGTAAGTTCAAGATGGTGCCTTTAAAAATTTAATTGCATGTTGCGTTACTTGCGTAGCTGTGGTGCCTCGCATCAGTAAAGTTAAAGTCGCTTATAATAAGAAAATTGCTAAACTTCATTATAGAATAAGTTTAGTTAAAAGGTAAGAATATCAAAAATAATTAAATGGTACACCGACATTACAGAATTTTCAGAATTTTTGCAAATATGGCCCATGTCGTGTTACCTACCGCGCTTGCACTTTTGTTATTTTGACATCTTATCGCAAACACAGGAACTGGGATGTGGTAGCATGAAGGCTGCATTACTTGATTCGACCCGTTTACGTGCTGTACGGTACTTATCGGATTGACGTATGAAAGTAGGTCCAACATACTAGTACTTACTCGTTAAAATTCGGTTGAAGTGTTTAGACACCACTGTAACAAAAACTGTTAAGAGGTCTGTAATTCTTAAATCTTTTCCTATAAAAAACGCCAACTTATTGCGCAGCTTTTACGATTTTTGCTTACAAATATTTCGAAACATACCTAAAAATCCTAAAATGAACGAGTTTTAGTTAAACTAAAAGCGTTTTTTTTTCATTTGTCCTTGTTACTATTGGCTGGTGGCATGGTGTTTCCATGTTTTTTTACTTACAATTTCACATTGAAGAATAATGTAATAACTGGTTGCTTAAAGAACTTTAAAATGGTTGCTTTTGTGACCGCACTGGTCGTTGTCGAGACGCACTGACCATGTGGAATTTGCTTAGCAATAAAATTACTTACTCAATCCGATAAGCGGAAGCTTGCTATCGTTTCTAGTAGCGATGGCGCGGTGGCATGTGATTTTGTCGTTTAGAAAAGCGGTCGCGCTGCCAGCGGCGGCAGTCGGTCCGTGCATAAAATATCAGCATTTTGTGCTTTATCTGTAGTATTTCCTACTCGAGCGGAGCATGTTTTCCCGGTAGAAATTTTGACCTTCAACCGCGCTCAGCTGAAGCCAGCTCAGCGGAACGGGGCGGGTGTTGATGCATATTTTTATTGGTTAAAAATGGAGGATCGGTGCGTAAGACATAACAACGTTATATGAATGCCACTTACGCATTGATTTTGTTTTTATTTACTTCATATCTTTATTGTCTGATTTTTGTGAATAACCATTTATTAATAATTTATTTATATGGAAAAGAGCGCTTTTACAATGCTGTTACGTGCACTAGATTCCTCTGTGCAGTTGTGCTTATACTCAATACTGTGTCTTTAAATCATGAGTTAATCTTTAAATTCATATACACATATTGAAACTTTGTTTATGTTAAGTAGTAATGATTAAAATTGTTCAAGTCACAATGAAGGCTGTTCTAACCTGTTAAGTAGTAAAATATGTGAATAAATATTCTGTTATTATCACTCCCCGTGTTTTTACATTGGCGGTGCAGATTTCCGCTCATTACTGGCATTTTTAATTTTTTGTCGAATCAGGGATCCTAAATAATTAGGTAAGTATCGCAAGTTGTAAATACATGGGTGTGAGGGGCGATTCGTACAGTCCACTACTTTGAGGAACGTCAAAAACCGTTTATTCGCGTCTGCTGGTAGAATAGTTTGCGTTGCTTTTGGTAAATCAACAGCCGGTTTTGGTTTGTTTGGTATTATTTCGTCAGTGGATGTGATCACGTGAAGCAGGCTACGATTTCATCAGAATATTATTTTTTGCCGAGGTTAACGGATTGCTTGAATTATGCTTGCGGTAGCGTTTTCTGACCCGATTGACGTCCGATTGGTTGTTTACAAAGGCCGGGCTTGAACACACCCACCTTGCGACTAATTTTGTATATAAATGTCGCAGTATTAATGTGAGCCACGTCGACGACATTGGTGTATTTTTATTGTTTTTTTACTGAAAAAGAAATCAAAACAGATATATACTTCTCACTCTACGAAACTTTTATCTTTTTTGTTAAACTGTCCGAGAAAATCCACGATATTCTATTACTTTTAGCAGATGCGCCTTCTAAGTCTTTTGATGGCTGTTTCATTCCTGATTTCTTCGTTTTTTTAATTGCGCTTAGTAAATTATTTTTTTCTCATCGCTACAGCTTTGTCTATATTCTTTTAACAATTTGATCGAGGCGAAATTCCCTGTTATTTGTTGGAAATGCTGGAACTGCCACATTGTAACATTTACAGGTCGGAAGTGGCCTCTGCGCTGAATCTGCATACCTCCAGTATCCTCTCGCAAGTGCCGCGCATGAACATGGCGCCGGATGTGGAGCCCAACGGTCTCAATCTGAAGACGCAGATCGTCAAGGGCGATCTGTCCTCCCTCAGTCCCAAAGTGCAGCGTTATCTGCTGGAGTGTGTGTCCGTCTGCCGGCCGGATAAAGTGTACATTTGCGATGGTTCGGAGGAGGAAAACACCGAGCTCGTCAAACAGATGGTTGAGGAGGGCATGATGAAGAAGCTACCCAAATACGATAACTGGTAAGTATCCAAATGAGGAAAATAATTCGTAGCATAAGACCTTACCATAAATACATCAAATCTGCTTTTGCACATGGTTCTTATATTGCACATTACTTCAGTATGATTAGTAACAAAAAATAAACAGACTGCATTAGTAAAAAAAAATAAACAAATTGCATTACTATGATATCAAAGTGATAAACTGTATAGCATATCGCCTTCTATCTGCACTCTACAGTGTGTGTTCGGGAACGCGGTTTCTGAGTAAATTCTTGAGGAAGATTGAAGATAATAAATAAAATAACTGAGTATCGCGTCACTTATTACGGTGTCTGCTAAATCATAATGTATCTACAGTGGCAAGAATTATTTGCTAAGACGCTTTCTTTAGCGTAGCGCTGACCAAGCACGGAGTTGAGTTGGCGCACGACTTTTAAGCTTCACGTGATTTTGGGCAGAAAGCTGGTACCGTAGAGTGGAGACCGAAGAGGTTTGAGTTTAACGCGGTCTGTGTATTGTAGTTGGCTGACCCGTACCGATCCGGCGGATGTGGCCCGTGTGGAGCGTCTGACGTTCATCAGTACTCGCAATAAGAAGGACACCGTAGCCCAGCCCAAGCCCGGTATTAAGGGCATCCTCGGCAATTGGATGTCTCCAGAGGAGATGGAGCAAGCGCTCAGCTCACGATTTCCCGGATGTATGCAAGGTATGCAGCGTTACGCACATTGCACAAGCCATAGGAAGAGTTGTAGAACTTGTAGCTTAGTAGTTTAATGCGCATCTGTTTTATGTTGGCATGTTTGTTGCCTGTTCAACTATCCAGGTTAAACTAGCGAACGTACTGTAGAATATGAGATATCGTTTGCTTTGGAAATATTGATCTGTATTTATTTGGTGGTTTTGTTTTTCCATACAACAGATTATAAGCAACCAAAACGAAACGATCTATATACTGCAGAACATACGCGTCTGAATTCCGACAGAAAAATACTATAATTCTCATTAATCTAATTTTAATGCGAAGTTTTAAATTTTAACACCTCATTGTCAGTTACTTGATTTAGTTAACAATCGGCTTTTGGTTAGCAGGTTTACGACAGGTTTTTACTGTACTGACAGCAATACTGTATCTGTCGCTTGAAGATCCGTCCTGATTTCTTCTTTTCTTTCAGGACGCACTATGTATGTGATTCCGTATTCCATGGGTCCAGTGGGATCGCCACTGTCCAAAATTGGCATCGAGCTTACCGATTCGCCCTATGTCGTCGCTTCCATGCGCAGTAAGGCAGTTAACTCTGATAAATTGGATTGCAGCTTATATCGATTTTATGGTTAGAGCACTCGTATTGTTGCTAGTAACTTGCTGTTTTATTGTTACGTTAGTGTAGTTTTGTATATTGTTAGAAACCCGCTTAGCTTAGGTCAGGGTGACTACAATATGCTATATGTAAAAACTTCGGTAAGGAACATGTTTATCGAGAAAGGAATTAACTGGAATATTTTTTTCAGTTATGACACGTATGGGCACAAAGATTTTGAAAGCCCTAGGCGACGGAGATTTCGTCAAATGCCTCCATTCAGTCGGTCTGCCACTGCCTGCTTCGCGTACGTGACCATCGATCTCCGTACATTGCCGTTTCACGTTACACAAGAACCAACATCGTGTGTTCTTTTAGGTCCTGTGATAAACGGTTGGCCATGTGATCCAGAGAAGGTTATCATTGCGCATCTGCCCGAAAAGAACGAGATCTGCTCTTATGGAAGCGGATACGGCGGCAATAGTCTGTTGGGCAAGAAGTGTCTGGCTCTGCGTCTGGGCAGTATTCTGGCGCAGCGGGAAGGCTGGTTGGCCGAGCACATGTTGGTAAGGCCGTCCGTACTACATGCCGCACTAATTTTTGTTGACCTTTTTACGATTGAAATATACACCGTGGTTGATCTTGCTTGCGTGTTTTCATATGCTTATGTATCCAAATTCTCCTTCCACTTTGTTTTTCGTTAATTTACGGGTATTTTTCGCTTTTTTTTATTTTGCATGCTGTCACCGATATTTATTTTTGTTGTTATGATATTTGTTGTCTTTATTTTCTGTTCAGTTTTGCTTACGTTCCGGAATCAGTCAAAAAATCAGATTTCTCGAGCAGAAAAAAATATCCGGCAAAATTTTGCTTTCAAGCAATTAGACTCTAACGCGGTGACCACTTTTGATGTTGAAAAAAATAGTTTGCGTTATGGTTCAATCTGACAGCGGGATTTGTTTCTAATGTGCATTAGATGTGCACTGGGTTGTGAAGCAGTTCTCTTCATTTGTTTTATATTGACTTTGTCTTTATTACAGATTTTGGGCATAACCAACCCAGAGGGAAAGAAGATTGTAAGTTTTTCAGTTACATATTGCCCATCTTGGGCTGTTGCTCATACGTGTATAAGACATAATCATGATGTCGGTTTGCAGTATGTGACGGCCGCATTCCCTAGCGCCTGCGGAAAAACCAATCTGGCCATGTTGATCCCGTCACTCCCTGGCTACAAGATGGAGTGTGTGGGCGATGATATTGCCTGGCTGAAATTCGACCAGAATGGTGTACTGCGGGCGATTAATCCCGAAGCCGGCTTCTTTGGTGTGGCACCAGGTGAGCAGTGGCGGTGATCACTTGACTCAGATTATTGTGCACCGACTTAATCCGAACTTTGCTAATAAAAATTCTGATTTCAACAACAATTTATCCGAGCACCTTCGATGGTTACAGTTTTTACATATTATTCCAGTCATAAAAATCGATACTTCTGCACATCAGGGAATGCAGCTTGGTAATAAACTAGGGAAGACCTCGATAAATTTCAGTGGATAAGATTTTTTGTCTTTTTTGGCTTATGAAAACATTACTCTGAAGCCAGTATGCTTTTATCCGGTTGTAATTGTGGGAAAATGTTAATTGCATGATTAAGTAAAATATTCGTCGACGCATCCTATTTCTAGCTAGAGCGTTTTGGCTTATGTTTACATTTTGCAGGAACATCTGATCAGAGCAATCCCAACGCCATGGCTGCCATCCAGCAGAATACGGTCTTCACCAACGTGGCGGAGACACCGGACGGGGGTTTTTGGTGGGAAGGCCTGGAGAAGGACATCCCTGTGGATGGCCAGGAACTGACGGATTGGACCGGCAAACCCTGGACCCTTGGCTGCGGCCGTCCTGCCGCCCATCCCAACAGCCGCTTCTGCGCCCCCCTGGAGCAGTGTCCCGTGGTGGATCCCTTGTGGCAGGACCCGCAGGGCGTCCCCATCTCCGCCATCATCTTCGGTGGACGCCGGCCCCAAGGCGTGCCTCTGATCTACGAGGCCTACAACTGGGCACACGGGGTCTTCATTGGGTCGGGAATGCGGTCGGAAGCCACGGCGGCTGCGGAGCACAGCGGTAAAGTGATCATGCACGATCCCTTCGCCATGAGGCCGTTTTTTGGGTATAATTTCGGCAAATATCTGGAACACTGGCTGAGTATGGAGCAGCGACCGGCCGCACAACTGCCGCGGATTTTCCATGTTAACTGGTTCAGGAAAGATGCCGCAGGGAAATTCATCTGGCCAGGTTTTGGAGAGAATAGTCGCGTGCTGGACTGGATTGTCAGGAGGGTCAACGGAGAGGATTGCGCGGTGGAGAGCGCTGCTGGTAAGATCTGTTTTCTTGGTAAAACAATGCTCAACTGTTTTTGTTTTTAAGAAAACGTTTTGTACAAAAAGGGCCTTTTAATTCTGCATGGAATTTTACGTTATTCTAGGCATTTTTTTATGTTCTGTAACGATTTGGTGCTTATTTGTCTGGTTACTGGATATTTAACATTTAACAAGAGGATGAAATATATTATCGAAATTTAATGTGAACCTGTACGTAATTGGCGTGAAATACAATTCTGATAGGTTTCATTGAAAATCCGAATTGACCTAGTACGTATGTTCAGGTTATCTGCCGAGACCGGGCTCAATCAACGTCGACGGGCTGGGCGAGGTGGACATGGAGGAATTGTTCCGTCTACCGAAGGATTTCTGGCAGGAGGAAGTGGAGGCCATCGGGCGCTTCTACGACGAACAATTGCCAGAAGACTGTCCCGCGGAGATGCGCCGTCAGCTGGACCAACTCAGAGAACGAGTCGAGAAGATGTCATAATTTCCCAATACACAGATCGCTTTCATTCTTTCTCGTGCATAATTTTACATTGTGTTTATTTTATTATGCGTATTACCGCTCTGTTGAAGCTGTGTGCGTTTTGAGCATGTATAGTGTTTTATGCGGTTTGATTGTTGTCCCTTGTTTTCAGCGCTGTGCTTAATGGACCCGGTGGCTTTCGCACGGCATATTTGCATTCGATTTACTAGAGTTTTTAATGATCGCCTTGTTGGTTAATTCCTAAGACATAAAATAAAGTATAGTTCAGATTTTTTCAGCCAAAAATCAGGGATTTACTAACGCAATATCTTTCATGTCGTAGCTGCACCGCATACACCTCTGAATCTGTCATAATATGACAGATCATCATGATACATAGTTTGCTACCAAAGCCATATCATGGAGTAGTATAAGAAGGCGTACTGAACTTCTGCCAATTTGCTACGAGATGGCGAGCGCAGTTAACGATTGCGAACGCTTTTAATAATTTTTACGCTGTTCATAATTAATCTGAAACCCTTACAACTAAAATCGAGTTCCCAAAACTGCTTTTAGCTTTTTGGTAATATAATGTTAACCGCATTGCATAAGCGTTCACTGCAAAAGCCACCAAAGTGCAGTTGCGTAAAAAACTGCAGGATAGCTACTTCCAAGTACTTGCTATAGTCTAGCTATAGCAAGTTCTTGCTACTTCTATTGATATTTTGAACGTCAGTTTTGACCAGAGTGCGGAAACAGCATAGCCGGTATTTGAACTATTTTTACAGCTTCATCTGCTTCCAAATTACTGCTTAAGATAAATTAAAGACGAAAACAAATGTTTTCGCCGAAATTATTGCTCATGACAACTGGATTACGGGACCTGGCCAACGTTTCTGGCAGCAGTTGGCCAATGCCGGTATCTTATGCGTGCAGCCGTGCGTGCATTCTTTACAAACGTAGCGCAGAATAGACGCAAAATCGCCTCCGTGTGATGGCCGAAAGGGCAGTTGCTCTAGATCGATCTTGTTAACATAGTCCGTGGCGATTCCTTGTATGCATGGCAGTTTCTTTAGTATTTCTTTCAGGTACTTCAAGGTGCGCGAGAGTAGGGCGGGCGACATGCGACTACGGATGAGATACAGGAGAACGTCCATGTAGTGCGCTTGTAGAGCGCCTAACAAAGACGTATTACCCGCTCGTGTAGTATCTAAAAATATCAGATGCCATTAGTATTTTAAGGACATTTACGCAGTCGGATGAAGTTTTACCGGGTCGAAACATGCCGATGGCCATAAGAACGTAGCTCTCTGTTAGTGTTAATTGTAGTTCGTTCAGTGCATCCATAAACGCTAAAATGGCTTTGATAAAGTTTGGATCCAGTGTTTGATCCATCCAGTACCGCCCATAGTGGAAGTCCTCAAAACCGGCTAGGTAGAAAACTTCTCCAGCGCTGGTATACGGCGCATGATGGAACTACGGTTTCAGAATTTGTTGCGTAAAAAAACGTAGATTGGAAGATAATAGCTACGGTTTCCTACCAGCCAAACCAGGGTGAACTTCTCTGAGATTAAGGCATCCTGGTCGGGAGTAGACAAATCTGCAAAACCCGGAATGGCTTTGGCGAAGCCGATCATACGACGCTGGTCGTCGTCATAGATGGCGCGCGCTAATTGTGGAAAGCCGTCTAAATTCAGCTCGTGCGGAGGATTCTACGTCAAAATGTCTAGTTCAAAAGCGAGTTAATCAGAAAATTCACAATATTTTTTTGTACCGTGTTTTCACCTGCTCCAATGGAGTTAGTCATGAACGCGGTCCAGGTCTCAATCTGGTCCCAGTACACTAAGGTCACCGCATCGGTCACCGCCATCGCAGTCTGCCGCAGGTTGGCGTTGCGCTGCTCAGTGATCGCCAGATAATTATCCAGAAATACAGGAAATTGCGGCTGAACCGGCATTATTTGGTCCACAGCTTGTACGTCCATACTGGACGATGCCACATCGGCCTGGAACTCAGCCACGTCGAGACCATCAAATATGCTGTCGAATATCGGTTCGCTGATGTCAATACTACTTCTAGTACTGAACGCCGCCACTGGCGGAAATGTAGCGGTCGACATATCTGCGTTCTCGATAGATCCGGGGTTGTTCGCGCGCTGTGGATCTGTGTTGTTGGATATCTGTTGGTTGTGGGCACTCACTGTAGGCTGCTCAACAGGTGATCCCGACGACGTGGACGTCGAGGTGGAATCTTCAACATCGGTAACGCTCTGCAAAAGCGCCGCCAACTGAGCGGCCTTTTCGTGTTTTGGAATCCTTCCCATTTTAACCGCTAAGAAAACAAAAATGAATTGTAAGAAACATACAATACATGTACGAGTTTTTTAGAAGGAAGCAATGTCGCGCAAAATTTATTGTATCTCGAGGCTCGAACCTTGGAAACTCATGCCCATTTCCACACACTTTTTAAACCGACAGGATTTGCAGCGACCCCGCCGTGCAGAAATGGAGCATTTCCCGCCAAAATAGCATTGGTAGGACAGCTTCTTCTCCACACACCGTTTGTAGAATGCCTGTAACGACCAACTTCAGCTGTATTGAATTATATCCCTGGCTCATCTTGAGTAAAAGTTGCACGACATCGGAGCAAGTCACCAATCAACGAGCAGCAGTTATGTGGAGTGTGGACGCTAATGTATAGCAGTTAGTTACCTTGCATCCTTCACAAGATACGACACCGTAATGAACTCCCGATGAGGTACCGCCGCAGATTTTGCATTTGACAGGAGGAACAGTTAGCTGGCTCATCGCAAATGTAGCACTTAGCACTATCTCGCGCAATAACAAAACTGATATACTAACGAAATTCTGTTTTCTGATCGTTATTCGGGTATAGTAGGTTTTGTATGAATTTATGAGAGAAACCACATAACACATTAACACAGCGGTGCTTCTGATCTCGTTCGGAAACGGTGTAATACCATCTGAACTTAATGCACGCTCTGTTCCAAGTAGTGTGTCTTAAAAACTGAAGAGTGCTGTTACTGCTGTCAGTAGTCATGAATGTGTAGTCAGCAAAAATTATATAAATATTAGAGGCAAACTGTATAAAAGCTCACGCTACGGGACAAGTACTGTAGAGCTAGGTGCGCAGTGTACAAGTAATTATGAAAAAGGTGGTTAACTGATTTTGCTGATCGCGTGTGCAATGGGTGCCGATATGATAACAGCTGATGCGGCAGTATAAACACGATGGACTTTGGCTTAGCTTGCGAGTTTCGGCAATATCGGCAAATAGAAATTAAATCATTTCTGATTTATATTAATACTGTACTTGTACAACTTGCTCTTGCTCAACCGCCATTCTGTAATTTACGCATGAACAACCTTGCGTTCGGGACCAGGAGAACAGCACACAAAGCGACGGGTAAATCGGAATTTTTTTAAATACGCAAAATATGACGAACACGGTTATGATGGAACAGCATGAATTTATAGCAGTATTGCATGGATGACCCATGTACAACTCCAATTACGCCATAAACTACGAGTATAATATTTCTGCATATAAACCCATTTGTCTGACTAACCGGCTAACTGTCATTGCCGGCTTGCAAATGTGAACGCTACACATAATTAAACCGTGTAAAATATTAATTAATTTGGATAACTAAGAAAATGTCCCATAGTAGGCGCAAACGGCGACGAGCAAATCAAAACTGGTCGGTTGGATCAACGGGCCCGGATGGCTGCTGTTGTGGATTTGTTTGCTGGCCGTTATTAGGTGGAATGTTGTTGTTGTTGTTGTTCGCGGGTGTCTGCTGTCCATAAGCTATTAAAACAACAGAAATGACTGTAATCTCAATGTTTCGTGCGCTGAGATTAAAAGATTTGCATGTTCATCGCTCGAATAATTTAGCGAGACTGGTACCCAAGCACCGGCGCGAAATTATTAACCTAATTTCATATTTGAAAATTGCACACTTAAAATTAGTACGTATTATTGATTACCTTACCGGTTTTCTACCTAGGTTTTAAGTCATGGACAGTGAACGTTTATTTGCTATAAATAAAAACTCATCGTTTATATGCAAAAAATGATCACTTTTTGAAAAAACTTTGAGTTCATTTCTTATTTTCTCTTCTGGGTATATCTGCTTAGGCCCTATATTTTGCAGTTATCATCTCATTAACTGATTAACCATAAACCGAGCATGCCATGCGTATATTGTAATTGGTGTACTTACGATCAGCACAAACGACATTGCTGTTACAGTTGTACCGCCACTTGATCGCATTACAATCAATATTACTGAGCCGATTCAGTGTGGGACTGGCCTGTCCTCCGGGATTGGTGAACATGCTCACTCCCGGATTGGCGTTGGTCTGCGGTGTAATCTGCGTGATGGAGTTGTAGTCATAGGCCGTATTCTGTGGGTAGACGGTGACATTGGCAGTGTATGCCGCGTACATACTGGCCCCGATGTTCGCCAAGCTGGTGGCGATGTTGCCGGTAGTTACGGTGATAGGACGGTCGTTGCGCTGGTACTCGTTGCGCAGTCCTATGGCGTTAGCGAATCTGCCCATTATCTGCCGAACAGAGCCGCCACATTGGCCTGGTCCGGTGCCTGGTAAGATGTACATTTTCTGCCCACCGGGGTTGCTGCCGGCCAGATGGCCGGGAACGGTGCCGCAGGTCTGTTGTGCTGCTCTATAAAAAACTTTGTTGTTGCGGTGATCAGAAGTATTAAAGACTATAAGATTTCATAGGTGTAACGATTTTAGTCAGTTAACTGCTCGAGTGCAAAGGTATCCACGAGCGCGTGAACTTACCCGGTGGACGAGACAGGAGACACATAGATGAAATCCCGACCGACATTGGTGGGTGACGGTACTTGGACAAACTGGAGGCAGCCGGTCAGGTCCGTGTTCAGCGCCAACAGCGAGGCATTGATGTTCAGCTGCGTTTGTAAATCTGTTGTGCCATACACAAGTTGGTAAAGGTCACAAAGGCGGTTTTTGTTTTTGCTAGCGAGTCACAAACGCAAATATCTGAATTTACTTTCCGTCGCTCCACAAAAGTAATTTAGCTAGTAGAAGTGGGGCAAAATAAATCTACACATCTAACATCGCAATTGAGAACGCTTTTTGCTTTGTTTGTTCTGATTTTTATCAGCTGTTAGAATTCATATAACATGCTGATGACAAATTAGGAATAAGAAATAAGGTACTACCGTAACTATTACCTGTTCGGTAAGGCTATATGATTTTGCATCGTCCAATTTGCATTCAACTCGATTCCAAAATTTTAATTTGCTACTCGAGTAGGCATTCTGATACCAAGCTACAAACATTCCACAACATTTTCCTATATTTACGTACCATATCTGGCCTTTTCCACGTAAACGGGAACACGCACATAGGGATCGGTGTTAAACAATACCGGCCATAAAGTGTATCGTGGATCATTAGTACTCAAAATAGCCGCATAACCAGAGTTTACGCTGAAGCACAATAAAAAAGCTAATATAACCAGTGCAACCATATTGTTTTGCAAGTAATTACTGCGATGTAATAAATAAACGAAACCCTGGAAAAGGCACCCGATATCTCACAGGCACATACAACATAAACGCTATCTCGTGACCAGCCGCTAAATGCACATTTTGTCGCATTTATATGCCAGCTGATGATGCGAAGTAATGTTTTATTGCGCAAAATCCCGCCAATTAATATGCCAGTTCTATTAAACTTCAGACAATGTCAAGGCAGCGCTGACTGTGCACCGAAACAAAGGTTAACCATCGTGTCGTCTTCGGAAATAGAGTTACGTGCGTACATGTTGCGGTCTTTATACAGTATATGCGTACATCTTGCAGTGCAGGATATGATTACGTAATTAGTGCTTCGGAAACGCTAAACTAAGCGAAATTCTGGTTTAAAAGATTCCGATTTGACAATAAAACCCACTATAACACATATATTTATATATCAGAATGTGCTCGCAACCCTGCGCATGGTATTTTCATTTTTAAAACGTCGCTATGCAAGGAAGAGGTTCCAAATGCATAATTTATTATTGTTATACAAGTATGGATAGAAATAACTATAATCATTAAATTTGTAACATTTCATGACTTAAAACTGAAAAATTAATTTTTCTATCAGGAGATGCTTTTATTTATTGCACATACTTAAGCAGCTGACTATCTGCACAAGAAAAGAGGTTGCGGAGCAAGGCGAGAAAATAACAAATCAAAACGTGCTGGAGTTACTACGGGGTACGAGTATATGAACTTGGTGGCAAGAAGCGCTTTTTTTGCGCGTTAGTGGTGTTGAGTGTAAAAATTGAACGATTAAACGATTAAAATAATACTCTGTGCAAATTTACTCCAGTTGCAATACTGAGTACTATTCGCTTAGCAGCATTAAACCAGGTAGATTATTAGCGTTGAACTTCATCGACTACAATCAATGCAAGACGGGCATTTGCTGACTATGTTGATACAGAATGCATCTCGATTAATATTCGCTAAGCGTGACATTATAAATATTCACTATGCGTCAAATTTCCAAGCTGACATCGCCATTGTAAAAACTTCTACCTCCTTCGCAACGCAGTTCTACTTCGAAACTGCCACGACTGGGCGTTGTAATGCATGCAACCTGGTTGCAGCGTGCTACATGTAAATAAGTACGTAAACCGCAGTCTCACAGCGTAAAATGACCAGAGAACATTTGTGCATTTTTGCATTTGTATTAACCGCATCGCTGTGCCGCGCAGCGGTCTTCAACTCCGATGCTCGGTACAATACCTGGCAGAAGCTCTTCCCCACGGATCCTTACACGCGGATTCCAGTATACATTGATACTGCGGCCTATGGTACATCTTACACGACTGGACAATGTCTTGTCGTCTGATGGTGTTCTTCCTGTATTGTAGCGGCCAGTGGGGACACGACAACGGTGACCAACATCAACAACGCCTTACTGCAAATGAACACGGATCTGAACGGATGCATCCAGTTTATCGTACTGCCATCGTCCACCAACGTCGGGCGGGATTTTATGTGGATCTCCAATGCTTATAACAACGGGTACGTACGTAATGATCTGCCGCCAGCAAAGCATTTAATAACTTAGTTATTGTAAGTTGCATTTGCCATTTAGTATCGATAAGAAACGTTACATACGAATCGGCTGATGGCGTACGAATGCCGAGTACGTAAGTTACTAACACTCAGCAGTACTGGAATAAGCCATAATATACTGCACCGTTTTAACGCAAATACGAATACCATTTATATCATAACTTTATCATATTTTTATATACAGAACCGTGTCTACAACGTGTGCGACGGTCCCTGGCCACGAAATGAGTCAGGCCGGGCGCGGCCAGAAACTCCTTATTGTCGGCGGCACCGGCGCCGGAAAATGCGGCTCCTCCCAACGACAGATAATGGGAAAGCTAGCTAATACTCTCACCCTGCGCAACGAGTACCAGCGTCCCGACCGCCCCATTGCCGTAACCATAAACAACATTGATCCCTCGTTGTCCGGTGTGGGAGCCGGCATGTACAGCCAGTACTCCAGCGCCATCATCCAGGTGTACCCCTTCAATCCGACGTACGACTTCAATTCCATCACACAGATTTCACCGCACCCTGTTAATAACATTTATATGGAAAGACAGTTTCATATGTTTCGGATGAGTGGCTCACAGATAACCGCATATGATTCACAGGAGTGCATGTCGGTTCATGCAAACCGCTTACAGCGCTGACTGATAACGCCTAGGCAGTCATAACTTTATCTCGTTCGTAACGAGTAGCGTCGTGGTTCGGCAAATTTTGTTCGAAAATACTAAACCTAACTTCAGCTGCCAACTGCCAAGCACCTGTCGGCATCTGGTTAAAACACATAAATCAGCATTTTTACTGGCCAAAGCTTTTACTGGCCTAAGGTTTTGACACTTTATATAATATTGTTATGTTCTACACTAAATATTTTTTCTTCATTCTAATCAGTGAAAAAACGAAAATGCTGAAGTTGATACGCGCTCATGCATCGTCATCGTGAAAAACTGTGAAAATATGGTGATCAGCCGGTGCACTTTCCGGTCTCCCCATTGTGCGCGTTCGATTGCGCAAGTACGTACAGTAATTACAATGCGTTGCGGGGCTTCCGAGTTCCGACCGTATTACGAGAATCCTACTCTATTAAATAGTATATGGATAAGCCAATGTAAAACACTACGCAGAAAACCTCTATAAATCTTGATGTACCTTAAAAGTTAAAAGATAGATTCTTCTTCGTTTTTTTGGTTATTAATAATTAGTCATGAAACCTGCCTCTAACCAGTAATTATGCATAAGGCGCAGTATGCACCATTATGCATCTGCATATACGTATACTACATAATTTTATGTATATAGATATATGTTGGTAGCACTTCATAAATATTACATTAATCACCTTCACAGATCTAGAGAGCGATCTGTGTAGACTACGTACAGAGAATACGCACAATAACCGAGGTATGACTTTCGAACTACTGTATTTTGGAAGCAGCTAAAAAATGAGTAGATACCGTAAATGAAAGTCGGCATGTGTAATTTTCACACGCGCTATGAAATACTAACCGATTACGTTAATTACTTGAAAAACTTAATGGCCTGTATCTGTAAATTAAACCGATTTCTAATCATGGTAAGTACAAAACCGAAACGGTCCGCTTTTATCTACAGTAAATACTGCTAAATTCTAAAACAACTGCATGTTTATAATTTGTGATAAGTGCAAAACTGAATTATTCCAAAAGCCTAAATACCTGGTATACCGGCGGCAAAGTCAAACTCGTTTAACTAAATACAGCTCGATATATTGATACTTAACATATGTACCTATATTAGTATTAATAGTATATGGCTATATGTGTACTATATATAGTATGTATGTACACACTAACAGTGCACTTGCAGCATATAAAAAAAACCGCCGAAGTACTGTAATACTTTGTTTATTTCCATTTTTCCTATTTTTATTCATTAATTATATGATTAATTCACAGAAGACATTAAACAGTTAATGGCTGACCTCCCACAGCAGACGCGCACGGTCGCGTACATGATAATATTACTGTTATCAAAAAAGTCTCTTATCAGGATTTCACACGGGGTCGCGTCGCAACGGCTGACTGCGCCATACAGTTCAATTGCGCGCGGCAAAAATTGTCAGTGTGATGAAAACTCAAAACTTGATATTTCACTCGATCGCAAGCTTCATACCGCACTGCACCACTAAATCTTGATTTCACTTGTTTTTACGTTTCCAAATAAATAATTATCGGCGGCAGCTCACATGGAACTATTTAATTTATTGGGATAACAACCGGGAGCATCAGGCTGTGTCATTGCGTCTTTAGGCAAAGATTTTGAAATCGTCTGAATAGTGCAGCCGCATTTTATTACGAACTGATGCCTGCCTACGATGCTCGTATTTCTTTTCTTTGGTGAATTGTTGCACGGTTATTGTGCGTATTGCACTGTTATGAATCCCTGATTGCTTCTCAATCAAGCCGCACGTTAAAATTTTAATGCTAATCAAGCCAGAATTGGAGTGGATGGTTTGTACAAACCATCCACGCAGAAACTCGGCAGCTGTCTGCACAATGCAGTGAGCAAAAGTTCTTTTCCAGGAAAGGATGAATGCCATTTTGCCCAAACTGTGATTAATTAACTGTTCGATGCCAGTGTCATTTCTGTATCAGCCGAAAACTGTTGCCACATATATACATACACCACAACAACCGAATCCAGATCGCCCTGCTGAATAATTAAGAAAAGCGCCGAAACAAATGAATCCGCACAAGCGCATTAAGATTGCTAGTATCGTACTACAGAATACATATAACGGATAACATAATATTTAGAATACAACCGCAATTAATTCATAAACGATTGGGGCAGGGAGGGCACAATTTGTACCGACAAAATTATTACGTTATGTCGGATTACGACAAAAACTTCCAGGACAAATTTTGTCTTTTTCTAGACAAAAAAACACTGATTTAAGGGTGATTGTGATTCATACGTTTCCCGTCTGAGTTAACGTCTAAATACATGTACCGATATTACTATGATTCATATTTTTATTATTGATGGGGGCAGACAAACGCGGCTGCCGGCCAAACCATGTTCACTAATCCCGGCGGACAGGCAACGCCCACCCAAGCTCGCCTGAGCGCCATTGATTGTGCCGCGCTAGCGTGGAAATATGGGTGCTCCATTGCCTGCCAAGATCGTAAGCACAGTAAAAACCGCCTTAAATATGGGACAGTGATGCCGGGTAGATTACTGTACACGAATCCACGCGGCGCAGTAGGCTGTGCTTACATATACCTAAATAAACAGCGACATTAATCTTTTTATTACTGTAACTGTACTGCATGTACGTACCAGAATTGTAGACGTAAAACGATTTAATGAAAGTAATTTTTAAGGTCCGGCACTTAACCTTGATTTAAAAAGTTGTTCTGTATGCAAAAAAAATTTTAATGTTGTTCTTGTTATTTCTTAGCTTTCGGATGAAGTCATCGCATGGAAGGGACGACTAGTTGGAAGAGTTTATTTAGCGCGAACAACTGTATTTAATTATGTTCGGAATTCGGAATGATGCGTTTATTCGTTGCATTAGAATATGTTATTTAACACTGGAGTACCAGAAACCACGATTAGTTAATGAACCAGGATCAGTAAATTTAAACGAGAAAAGTACTAGAACTACTCGTAATATCACAGTGTGAAAGGGCACGCGCTGTACGAACTACAAAGTGCCCTGACGCGTGGCGGGATGACACAGCCTAAAGCAGGACCTTTATTGGATATTCTTTAATCTCATGATACTGCAACAGTTAAAAAGAAGGGTACCCTTATAGGCACCCCCTAAAACCCCCGTATATTATGGGCACCCCTTTTCGCACCCCGTTTATTATAGGCACCCTTTTTAGCTAAAACGATATATATACATAGTAGATTCAGTGTTGTTAGGTAATAATGCAGCTTTATTCAGATAATAAATTAATTTTTTCCAGTAATTTTTTGCAATACGTAACTTCTCTAGCACGAGTCAAGTATGTACATCAGGCTTTCCAGTCGATAATAGGATGATTCGGCAAATCAGCTGGCCTAGAGCGAATTTGTATTGCCCCTTTTTGGTGAGTATAAGGTCGTCTTTCTCGTTGGTCAGCTCATTTATTGGCTTCCTTCCAAGCCGTTATCACCTTGGGATTTTCTCAGCTTGTAATACTATTGAGCGGCGACTTTTGTGAATACGATGTTCGCGGGCGATACTACACCGAATACAGATCATTTCAGCAATGTAGGAAAAAACCATCAGGCCGCACTGATTGGACCCGGCAACAGAAACTCGACAATGGGAAATACTACAGTGACCCGCTTGTGTTCGCCACCGTACAGCATGGATAGGTGCAGGTGCACAATCACGAAAGCGCTGGGAACTTTCACATGTAAATTCGTTTAAAAGGTGATTAACGATTCCCTCAAACGGACCTTCACCACGATTCACTTCTTCCATTTCCATTTCTCGTTCTACATTATATTCATCGGACGTGGCCGCAAATGCTGGCTGCAAGCCTGATGCGAGCTGGGCATTGATTTCGTCGGATTATAAAGTGTACCATACGAGCCCCAGAGCCGTTATTTTCGTTTTCTCTATAGTGCACGCATTTGTAAAATTGTTTTAAACTTATTAAGGGTTGGCTCCAGAGCTTTAACATCTAGTAGTCTGCACTATGCACGATATTAATCAAAAATGGGTGCCTACAATAAACGGGGTGCGAAAAGGGGTGCCTATAATAAACGGGGGTTTTAGGGGGTGCCTATAACGGTTTCCTAAAAAGAAATAAACTACTCGGGTAGTCAAACTTTACTCGTAGGTTATAAAACTACTATAGTACCAGTAAGTAGTAGATAATAAAGATCATCAGCAACGTTTATGATAAAAAGTACTTCGCGAGTTGAAACAACGAGCGAATGACACGGAAACACTAAACATAGAATCACCCAATAGGGAATATCTAAGCGAGAGTACTCGGGGCACAGAATGGAAAAGGTTACCAACCGATGCGCGCTATATGAGTTGCCGATATGGGGAATTTTAATTGATAACAGTGCCCAAAAGAATGACAAATAAACACGTTCCAACCACGGTGTAACCGCATCCGTTTCTAGGGCCTGCCGCACTGTAACCTCCTCCAACTGCGACGTAGTATTGGCATGCCTTCCTGGTTTGACTGCCAGAACCAAGCCCTCATCTGTCCAGTTTCTTCCATCTTTCCGCCAATTCATCGACACAGTTAGGGTTTACCGACGTGCTCCAGAGGTAAGAATCGGATGGAGTGTCGACGCATGCCAAGCTAACGGAAAGTAGGTTTGCATCCGGCTCGTGATTGCACGTCCATGCTAGACACTGAAACCAGGGGCGAATGGTTTCCCTTGCGCTAATATTTATTTGATTAGAAATCTAGCGTGCGAAAGTTGGCACAACTAATTCTACAGCACTGCTATACTTACGAGGGCATGGTCATCATCTTTCCCCTCAGAAAAAGTATTGAATTGTACCCTGGTTAGTTAGCAACTCGAGTGGTATTTAATTAACGAGACCTTGTTCAATATTGCGGCCTTTGCGGGAATGCCAAGTTAATTCCACTCGTTCGGAAATGGAACAATAATTACTGGTCCGCAGTAATCTAAACAGTCAGTTCTTAATTTTTCGGCTAATTTCTTTTGCAACACGGCGTCTAGACATGCTTCATGATAAGACAAGGCGAGCCAAGACGGGCGTGTCAAAGGCTCGTACGCATGCAGCCGCAGCTTCATAAACCATCCGGCACCAAGAAATGTCCAAACACGATCGCCTGAGCGCCACTGATCGAGCTATCCAGGCGTGAAAGCTCTTGCCCTTTTGATCCAATATTTGGCGCGTGCAGAGAACGTGCTCGTAATATCGTGATCCCGTGCTACGGGAACGATAAAAACTTTTTTATCGGCTGCGACATTTATTGTGCGACGATCACCACATGGGCAACAGCCGCACATTGTATCCGCGCGACGCATGTATTTCGCTGCCATCGATCCGGCTGTCTACTCCCGCGTAGCTAAATATTTAGAAAGACATACTTGAGTGCGGTTTGCGGTTTATGTTATAAATAAACCTGTATGCAGCAACACATCAGCCGACACTGTTTACATTTTTTTGCCAGCCCGGTACCGCTTCCGCCGGTTGTCAAGCCAATATGCAGCAGATCGGCTTGAGATCATCATTGATCAGACTACTTATCTTTTTCCGCCAGAGTGCCTGCTTCTCTTTCTTCCAGACGTGTACATACTTCCGTGCTGTCTTGCGGATTTTTATTGATTCACAATCAGAAATGTTCGTTCATTCGAAATCGAACGCTTTATACCGTTGGCCGGTTGGCGGTAATTTATATGTCGATATATTGTTCAATGAATTTGCCATTTCATTACAGTATTGAGAGCTAAAGTTATAAAGTTCCAACGTCTTACATATTCCGTTTGTTTGTTAAAATGTCAACTGCTGCCGATGCCGATCAGGAACGATGTGGTCAGCTCTTTAGTCACGACGTTCAGACGAAGACGGCTGGACTTTGCTCGGAAAGATTGTATCGGTACGTACGCCGTTGTGTCGGGAAATTTCAAAAGTGTTTGCACACTACAAATTCATTCTTAACATTATGTTAACAGCTTGAGCAACGCTGGATCTCTACACTGAGAAATCTTTTTTTTTCATAATGCCGCAGACGCTCGATTGTGTTTTGACTGATATCTTATCCTGCACACATTTTACAGAGACCTCCAAAACTAAAGTCGCTGTTCGCTTTGCCGTTTGTATGACTATTTTCGGGCTGATATACCTCTGTTTTGCCAATACCAGGCCAACTAAAAATCAACTAACGGAACGTCGTATAATATCGTTCGACGACTCCTTCCGCCAAAGCAGCGATTCTCAACCGCAGCCAGCTACTAAGAAAACCGTCAACGGTCAAACGCATCACATTCTATTTTGGACTACTTTCTATGGAGACCAGTATACCCCCGCGTTACGTCTCTTTCAAGAAGCAGAAACAGGAATAAAACAATGCCCATATTCGAACTGCATCGTTTCCAGTAACCGGAGCAAATTACTAACTAGTGGTGCGGTCGTATATCACATTCGGGATTTCGCCTTGGATCAGCTGCCACCGACACGGTTACATCACCAATACTACATTTTTTACGGGCTGGAATCGCCAGTGCACACGCGCCAGGATTTCCAACCCGGGTTCTTCAACCTGACCTTCACGTACCGGTTGGATTCGGATGTGATTACGGACTCGTACTTTCAGCACTTTCGTCCGTCGGTGTGGAAGGACAGCCGAGAGTTCGATGAGGCGCTGCGAAATAAAACAGGATTCGCGACGACGTTTGTCTCCAACTGCCAGTGGATACCCAGTCGACGGGATTTGTATATGACAGAGCTGGCAAAATATGTGGATGTGGATGTCTATGGGAAGTGTGGCACGAAGGAGTGCAGCACGGATACGCCCGAAATTTGTGATCGGCTAGTGGCCAATTACAAGTTTTATCTGGCTTTCGAAAACAGGTACCGTTTTATAACTTTGCTGCTGCATTTTTGTTTTATTTGTCAGTTCTATTCTCATAAAAAAATAGCATTCAATCTACAAAATAACTGCAATTTCTTGCTTAGTATCTGCAAGGATTACGTTACCGAAAAAATCCATCGAGCCTTAAATCACGCCGCAGTTCCCGTTGTCTATGGCGGTGCCAACTATTTCGCGATCTTCCCCAAAGACTCCTTTATAAACGTTATGGATTTTGAAAACCCCAAAGCCCTTGCCGATTATTTGCTCTTTCTAAACAAGAACCCCCAGGAATACCGCAAGTATTTCCAGTGGCGCGTCAGTGCGGCCACGGCCAAATTAGCAGCCGGACTGGAAGCTCGTAATCTGTCGTGGTGCAGAATCTGTACCATTCTCAACACTAGAAGTCCAAAGAAGAAGGTCGTCACTGATTTGGGTCGGTGGTGGAATGGGAAGGTTGGTGTGGTGCCAAGGATAGAAAATAATAAATGGAAAATGAATCCGTCCATTCCGTCTGTTTAATTACTGAGCAATGAGCCACTGCATTAGCTGTGTTACATACTCCTAGCTTGTTGGTTTTAGACTGCTTTTTTATAGCTTGCAACGGCGAATCTCCATAGTTCTTAGAAGTTGTAAATAAACCTAAAGTGACGCTTGCGCTTATATCGTGTTTGTGGACTTGCCGCCTTATGATTGCAGGATTTGTTTTAACTTGGCGAATGCGATTTTAAAATGCAATTATGAACAAACAAACGTTTGCGCACCAAAAAATCAGCATGCCGAGTTGCAGCGCGTTGAAATATTCAGCCAAAGCTGCTCCAACTGTGACCGTGTGATTTTTTCACTGTTCACGGACTTTTCGTTGTCGGCTAATTCCGAAAACAGCAAAACGTAGCTAGTGATAGCCCCTGAAGCCTGCGAATGCAGTACCAAATGTAACGTACTCTCCGTTCGTTGCTCCTTGCAAAACGTTGTGGCTTTTAAAGGCCGCTACACTGCGCTTACCATAATTACGGTTTCCCTCGTGACTAGTATTCCGGCCATACTGAATCCCACCGGATGCAACCGATACTCTGCCCCATAGTGCTTGAACACTTCATCGTTCCCTTGTTGCATTGTTATACGGAATCCCTGTAATTCCCCATAGTTGGTTATTCCATTTTGTCAAAAGCACCTGTGCCCGTACTGCCTTACTTGCTCAGTAATATAAATGAAAGTGACAGCGTACAGCGCCAAAAAGTAAACGGATTCAGTCAGTCCCAAAAGACGATGTGTTTCCAGACTGCGATTAACTGCGTACTCCATTGCCATCATGTAAGTACAAAAGGTCACGTTACTCAGAAACTGAATGTACATGAAAGCGTTAATCCAAGACATCACCGAATCGAAAAGCTTTGTTAACTCCACAATTTCCCGGTGGTGCTTAATTAGCTCAGCGATTTGTGATGTTCTCTGTTCGGTTACAGGTTCATCAAGATTGTCCGCGAATTGGCTAAAAAGCTTACCCAAAAGCAGAGCAAATGCAGTCGTAAAGACTTGCAGTGACAACTGGCCGAGACTGGCAAAGCGGAACAGAGTGCAGTAAATAACATACACAATTTTAAAGCGTTTAAAAGAGATGTGACCTTTCACCACGGCATAATCAAGACGGATTTCGTCGCCTATTGCCGACACAATATCATCTTCAATGATTCGGTAAAACGTCACCACAAATATCAGGAAGAAATTCACGCTGATGAATGCGTAAATCTGCAGTTTCCTTCTTGTGGTCAAAAACATATCTGCATGAGCTGTGGCAATCTTTACGCAGTGCACTACAAGCTCTCTGGATCGAAACGAAATGGAAAAGTAGAACACCGCCGCCACGACATCAAACATATACGTGCTCAGACACAGAATGATGACGGTGAATGATGGGGTATCGACAATGACCTTTCTGGAAAATTCGGTGTACGAGCAGTAGCATAACGCGCAAGTTTGAAGCGCTCCGGATAAAACCGTCAGAGCTATCCGACAAAGCCTGTAACGGTGAGTGTTTGATTGAGGTACAGGACAGGTGAAAATAGCGAAGATTTCCAAAAGATTGAGCCATATATTCCATATTCTTTGCATCGAGGTTGGCTTTTTGTCAGTGGATAATCGTATCTCGATTGGAAACGTATCAACAACGTTAGGTCTGACTTTTCTCATTCTGTGATTGCATGTAAATGTTATAATTATCACCAAACGTCTTCAAGGCTCATTGTGAAAGGGAAACTCATTGGTCTGCCTGACAACGTGAGGAAAACGCGACAGACGCTACTTGTAGTCAGATGCATCTACCACTACCTACGCCACCACCAGTTACAACATGGCAAGATGTATCTAAACTGCAGTGGTTTAACATCACACATAAGCATTTACATAGAACTGCATTCATCTGCCGGTTGTGTTGACCACTGCCACCACAAAAAAATTTTTCCCGGCTCTTGCCTCGAAGATTCAAACGACCTACCCCACCTGCACGTGTGCGCATGCAGCTGGAATACAATATCAATCAAGCAAACGTTGCACCTGTTTTCAAACGTATGTACACAGATGACTTTGTAAACTTGGTGCATAAATAGTTACCATGGTCAAATACCGCCGAGACCTACGGGTGTGGTATGCAAAAACGTAAAAATGAGGAGAAGTACTTTGTTTGATGCTAGCGAGTTACAACAATCGGCTCAGAAAAACCTGCGATGCAAAGAAGACAATAAAAGGAATATGCCTGGAAGATCGTACTTTAATTAGCATAAAAAAGGACGTTGGCGAGAAAAACTTTGGCGGATATCAGATTATTGAAATTAATCTGCAACTCTTGAGTTTTGCTGTGTGAAATTTGCTTTTCGCGCTCCCTAATGTAACCATCTGCGGGTGGCAGCGTTGCAGTCCGCTCCGAAAAAAAATGAAGACATACAAGTACTGTACTGTACTGTATTGTACTGTACACTGAACCACATTGAACCCCGTATGTGCAGTATTGTACTTGTACTCGTACAACGACTGACAGCAGCAAAAAAAGAAACTGATGGAATAACAGCTGATGGATTTTAAATTACGAGTACTATATTAGCGGAACCTTTTTGGCTTTTTATAAAATTAATCATAAGGCTTGTTTACACTTTGCCGGTGGCGGTGAGTGATCTGTGAAAAAATCAGTTTTATTATCAGACGGTTCAAGTTGATTGTATCTGATTGTCGGAAAGCACTCTTATCTTTGTATGTGCCTGTGGTACCGTCACCGTTTGCACCGCTTCCGTTGGGTTGCCTACGCGCTTGTTCTGCATCAGTTATATCTGTATGCTGACTGTCTGTCAGCTTCTCAGTTCTCCTGGCTTCCCAGTTTTATTTGTCCAGCATCCCTGAACGACACAATGGCTGTCCAACATACAACTCACACTATTACCACCATTGCTGGTGTACAGATGCCGCGATTAATTTACGGAACAGCTTGGAAAAGGTTAGAAAAACTTATCGACATCCAAAATTACTATACTCGATAAGTCTTCTCTCTGTACCCGGATAACGTTTTGGACCTGAAGACAGGGATCCATGCCATTCCATGGTGTTGAGATCTGTTTGGCATTTGTTTGTTTACGTTGTATTATTTACAGACGCGACGACAGATTTAGTGGTGAAAGCTGTTCTGGCTGGTTTTCGGGGCATCGACACAGCATGCCAGCCCAAACATTACCAGGAACCGCTGGTGGGGAAGGCCCTCGCCACTTTGCACGAGAAGCACGCAATTCCCCGCGAGGATTTGTTCGTGCAGACCAAATTCACCAGCGTCGATGGGCAGGATCCACAAAATATTCCCTATGATCCCCGGGTAAGAATCTCGCCTTCCTTTTAATTTGCCAAAATAAGAAATGTAAATGAAATGTATTCCGCGATTTAGAAGATTTTCGTTTGTTGGAACTGAGCGAAATTTGAGGAAAGTGATTCGTTTGAAACAGCTTAGAAGCAATGATTTCTAAAATCCAAGATCACGGCTATTTATGATTACTAATAACCTGATGAGCCTCCTGATAATGCTGCTGTTAAGCAGTAATTATTTTGATCAAACTGTTGTGATGTTAATTTTGTGTTGCAGTCTTGTGTTTGCATTTTGCCACTTTGGCATAGAACGATGAAACTTCTGTGAGAACTTTTCGCTGTACAACATTATTAAGACCACGGACCATGGTATCTCAAGTTTACGAAGCAGGCGGAAAACGAATAATAGTAACATAAGTATTTTCAAGTACCTCCAGTTTACTGAAAAGCAATTTTACACTAGGAAAACTCCTATAATTATCTGCATTTATTTCGCTATTTTATTTTATAAACTATAATGTCTGTATTTTTTATGTCTGCTAACTGCTGTACAGAAGTACCCACTTTACGAAAGTGCCGCGGACGACAGAATAAAGAACGATGCGAATATTCTAAAGAAAATTAAAAGGAATTATCATTATGAAAACTGAAAAGAAAAACTAAACTTCTCTGTTCTCAACAAAAAAGTTACTAGCGAAACGGTGTGACATCATGTGGAATTCCTTTTCTAGTTATGAAGGGTCGCTCTCTAGGTTTTGTTTCCAGATGGTTTAAAATAATGGCATGTTATGATTAAATGATTTAAATCGTTGTCGGATTGCTGTTAATACGACGAACATTGACTGTTTTGTGTTACCTACAAATACGTAATAACCAAAACATCTAGCGGAAACTGTCTAGCCGTAAAATAAGCAAACATTATAATTTGAAATTTGACTAAAATGTTATCTGACCGTCCGTATTGTCCGTATTGCGTTGTTATTGTGCAGCACTGCAGTGCTATCTCTTGTGATAATAGTTTGTGAGACATTTTTTAAAAAAGCATGCTGACATCACGTTATTTGAATTTGAAGGCTTCCTTAACTGATCAAGTCCGCCAGTCCGTTTCAGCCAGTTTGCGCAATCTGCAGACGACCTACATCGACTCCCTTGTCCTCCATGGTCCTATGCACAGCCACCAGGAAAACATGGAAGTATGGCGTACCCTCGAGGACTTCCACCCCAGGGCACCATCAGACAATTGGGCATCTCAATTTCTACCGTCTGGCTGAATTGGAGAAGCTCTTCCATGACGCCCACATCAAACCGGCCGTCGTACAGAACCGCTTCCACGCCGAGACCGGGTACGATGTGGAGATCCGCGCGTTCTGCCGCAAACACGGCATCATCTACCAGAGCTTCTGGACTCTGACGGCCAATCCGCATCTGCTGCGTAGTGCCGTGATCAAGGACATGGCACACAAACGGCAGGCCACGGTGGAGCAGGTGTTCTTCCGGTTCTGTATGGATTTGGGCATTGCACCGCTGACCGGGACGAAGGATGAGCGGCATATGAAGGAAGATTTGGCAGTGCTGGATATGGAGCCGATGAGTCGCACCGAGGTGGAGCAGATTGAACATCTGATGATCCGCGAGTTCAGTGGGCACCAGGCACTGCATTAATTATGGTGTCTCCCGGTTTGCTGATTATTTTATGCCCGCATTTTGGTTTTTATAGACGTGCTGAGTTGCGTTCAATTTGGCCCGGTTTTCTAAAAATTCAGTGTTTCAATGTTGTTTCTGAATGGTATTGCGTGTATTTGTTATGCCGCGATGACGGCTTTATGAATGTTTTGGTTTGCTGAGCTTTTAAGAAATGGAAAGATTGCCGAAGATGACGTTTAATAGAAAGTGATGTGCATAATGTTATCTTATCAGCAACTTGTACGGCTACGCATCGAGCGATGAAAAACAGTTATCTGTCCAATTATGCAACAGAAGCGGCATAAAATTAGCAGTACTGCAATTTTGACGTAACACGATATCGTAGATACAAGTATATAATGCATATATAATTATTATGCGATACTTCTATATAATTTTACTACGATAGCCGCATCCTCGATACCGGCGCAAAGTGGGTGATATAACGAACAGTGATACGAAAAGCAAATGGGTACTTATGTAGACATAAATTAGGTAATTTTTTAGCAAAGGATTTATTCAGTTCCTCCCTGCAAACGCGTCAACATAAGAAATCTGAACTAGAACTTGTTAAGGATACAGTACTGTATAAAGGATGTTTGTAAGGTTATTGCTAACCCTTTCCGCTTTGTTGGTGGTCACCATCCGAGCGGCGGTGTTTATTCAGGACGCGCGCTATGGATTATGGCCTAAAATCTTCGGCGACGTGCAGACACGAGTGCCGGTGTACATCGAGACGGGACGATACGGTGAGCTGCGACGTTGTTTGACGTGCTGTCCACCTTAATTATGCGCTTTGTATCCATTCTGTAGTTGTCGTTACAATATGTAAAATGGTTTATTGGGCAATAGCCGCCATAACAACAAAAGTGCAAGCGCGGGCACACTACTTTACAGTTAAAATTTAAAATTAAGTAGTTCGTGTAAAATTAAGTAATTCGTGGTAAAATGATTGTTGTACTGCGAATTTGAGTAGATGCCACGACACTGGCGAATATTCGTCGCGCGATCGATCAGGTGAATGCCGATCTCAACGGCTGCGTTGGATTTTTCGAAGTGTACACCACCGCGCCCGG